TGGAGTTTTTGCTGCGCTCTGCACAAACAGAAGTGTTTGTGATTATCACTCTGCCCGACATTTCCATCGCTAAGCGATGTGGCCATAAAGCATGATGTCATGTGACTGCATTGTTTAGTGATGGCAATCCCAGCAGTCCCCATTGCCATCATTAATCAAAACCCACCCAAACGTTAGGTGAGGATCCACCCCGATCCAAGCCATTCCTGGCTCTGTCCCTCCCAGCCCCGAACCTCAGTAAGGTAAGAGAATGCCTCCTCTTCAGCTCCCCCCATCCACCTATCTTCCCCCCATCTCTGCCCTTTTGGCCACCCTGCACTTTGTCGGTCCTGCTGCCCTGCATTCTGCTAGCCCTGCTGACCTGTGCTCCACTTGCCCTGTTAGCCCTGCCATGCCTAGCTAACCTTCACCATCATCTTCCTCCTGCTACTGACGAGGTGCCCCAGACCTTCTTCCCGAGGCTGCGTGCACCCTTGTCCAAGGGCAACAGAAAGGTGACGGAGTGTAGGGTGACCAAAATAGCAGCGATGAGGAGGGAGATAGGCAGGTGGAGGGAGTTGAAGCACCCCTGAAGTCATAAGTGTGGGCAGGCTGCCAAGCACCCAAATTTTGATCACATGGCCACAGAGGCCTGTAACGGCCGTAACTTCGGGGACCAGGCATAAGTACCATTCATTCAGCACTGCTATAATTTTAAACAGTCGCTGAACGAATGGTTGTTAAGCAAGGACTACCTGTATTAGGTCCCCCCTCTTCTAGAGTGCTGCTGCTGGAAACAAATATTCAGAAACAATGCAAAGTGCTTTTATTTTTTTGAGCAAAGGAATGCTGTCATACCCACCACTTAATTGTGTACTTGAGGTTGGGCTGACTGACTGTGCTGTCATCCAGGAAAATCGTGGAACAGGAACTATATTTCCTTCTCAACTGACCAGGAGGATGCTAGAAAACAAGCATACAAAAAGAACAGTGGCAGTCACGTAATGCCAACGTCATTTCTTCCTAAGAAAATAGTAATTCAATAAACAGCTTCTCTCTGTCTCTGGCACACGCATGGATACATCCAAGACAACATAATCTGGGCAAAAATCAGAGAGCTTGGGCATTCTGTGAATCACACAGAAGTTACTCTTTCTTTGCTCGCTGCTCAAATGAAAAGATTATTCCCAATATATCAGTTTGTTCTTCAAAGTGCAGTAGCTGGATAGAGCCCCTTGAGAGAGGCAAAATGTACATTCTTACATCTTGGAGGGTTCATAATGGATGATAAATAGAAAATACACCATATACTAGAATTTCATTTTGATGAGGACCTGAAATTAATGTTTTTTAGGTTTAACAGCACAACACATGGCTTCTGCTATCAGATAAAAGAAAGGGAGATATGAAGCCAACATCATTTTTCCCACCAACGTGATGCTAGCTTAACAGTGTTCATCTTTGTATATCCTGTATCCAAAAAGCAAAAAAGACGTCACTGGATAAAAATATTTTGAACAAGATTTTAATCTGGTTTTCTTCTTTGGCCCTCTCACTTAAGCTATAGTGACAAAAGAGAGAAAAAGAAAGGACATTGTGACTAAGTTCACACAACACTAGTGCAATTTGAGGCTTGGCATGTTGTGTGTGAACCTAATCATTGTGGTCCATAAACCATGGCTTAATGTCTTATTATGTTGTGCAATTTGAACCAATTATAGCTTACCCAACAAGACATGATTAAGCCAACTTTACTGTGATATATGACCTTAGCCACTGTATGAACCATGTCCAACTTGGGCCCATTAAATCTGTTAGGGCACAACACTTTATTTTGCTACTCACAGAGTCACAGGTTTGGAAGGTCTTCTACTTCGACCCTGCTTAGGGCAGGAATTCTCAGATCATACCAAACGGTTGTGCAACATTTGCTTGAAAACCTCCAGAGATGGAGCCCCCATGACTCCGGGAGGTAGGGTTAATAGCTGTCACGACCAGGAAATTCCTCCCTATTTCACGTCTGGAACTTTCTCTTTTGGCAACTGCAGCACACTGCTGCCTCATGCTTCATTTGCACAATATAACTGGGGGCCACCAGATTTGAAAAAGATGGCATATATTTGCTCCTCAATTGAATCCATGAGACACGATGACAATGGCATTAACATTCAGCTTGCTTTTTTTTCCTTTTTAATGAATTGCTAAGAGATTAAGAAGTTTGTAGTATTGCTACTTCATCCTCATTACATTTATTCTGGGATTCAAAATATGCCAGGCAAATACACTCCAACAGGATAAAAGATTGGAAAATGAATCATAAGGATATACCTTAACAAAATTACCAATTTAATCCACACTGTGGCAATATTATCCACATTAGCTCAGCCAATAAATATGTAAGTGGTAAACCAGGCCTAAGTGTGGAACACTGTACAATCATAGAATGGTGTGAAAATATTGCAAAGATATCTATTTTCTAATACTAAAGATGGAAACGACTTCTGTTTCTCCATATGTTACTTATGAACATAACTCAGAGCAAAGATAGTCCTCCCCAAAAGAATTTGACCTCAAATTTCATCAAAATAATGGTAACTAATAAAACATATACAAATTGAGATCATACGCAACTGACTTGTATACTTAGTTGAGCCAAACATCTAATCAGATATTCATTGCTCTGAAATTGTAAAGTGCTTTTCTCTTAACTTTGAGACAAGTTAAAACTTGCCTGAAAAATATAGTGCCTACTATGGTATAGAGTACTCAGCACAGTTTAGTTGGACAAGGACTGGAGAAATCCAGATTCTTGTTCATTCTCTTCCATGGAAATTCACTAGGGGGATTTGGGCCAATCATTCTCTTTTGCCCAACCTATCTCACAGAGTTTTGTGGGGATAAATAAAAGGAGATTCTTTAAGCTCCTGGAGAAAAGGTGGGCTACAAATTGAATAAATAATAATAACAATAGCGTAATAGTAATATTGGTCTCCTCTCCTATTACAGCAAGCACTTGAAAGCGTCTGATATGTAAGCAATAACACCCAGTCAATCAATGTCCTTTTAAACCATGGTGTGAACTATAGTGTATTTCTATGAGTTTAACAGAATATTCTTCCTGATAGCTAGGTATAAGATTCCAGGCTAACTCAATCACAGTTCTTGCTACAAATTATGACTAACTTGACAGGGATTTAGTATGGAAATACTAATCCAACAGAAGAGAATATATGTAGCTCAGGGTTGAACTGTGGAATCCTTGGTGTTCTCTGAGCTTGGTTGGAGAACAGCAGCAAGTTGACGCTGACTTGGTGGAACATAATCCATCCACCAATCAGTAAGTAAACACCTAGTTGCAAGCTCTTCTATCAACAGTCAAGAGTCAAAGACCTGACTCTTATTGGATTGCAGAAAGTCTCTTAGAACAGTGTTGTCCAAACTTGGCCACTTTAAAATGAGTGGACTTCAACTCCCAGAATTCCCCAGCCAGCCATCCTGGGTGGGGAAT